ACACAGCCCCCTCCCGGGAGGGACGTCTCCCGCAGGGACCACGGGCCACGCTCCTCACCCTCATCTAGACTCAGGGACCGCCTGTCCCCGGGATGTGGGAGGCAGCCCCGGAGTCCTGGGCGGCACGGCACTGAGGACAGAGCTGCCGGCTGCTGGAACCTGGAACCCCCAGTTACTCGGAGCTCAGCACCGCCCAGCCGAGCACCGTGTACTGAAACCGCACCGAGTCACGTCCTGATCGAATTGCCAACAGCTGGTGATTCGGAGGGAAGAAGAGGAGAAAGTCACACTATGCACAGATGGCACAGACTTTTTCATCAGAAACAATGCAAACCAGAGAACAGGACCCCAAAAACATCCTATGGCCACAAAAATACCCTTTCAGAAATGAGGGGACGCCCCAGCCAGCTGGTGCGTGTGGAGATGCAGGGGAGCCCAGCCCCTATCCTGGGCAGTAGGAGCGCAGGTCACAGCAGGTGGACACGGCCAGGCACGGGGTCCAGTGCCCACAGGGCCGGGTGACTAGCCCATCGCTCCCTCCTGGCCGACGGACATTCTGCACATTCACTGCCATCCGCCCCTTGGCCCATCACACTGGTAGGGGGCACCTGACTTAATCTGAACAGTAATCGTATTATTTTAGACCTTAGAGCACATGTGCTTATGTGAATAGGGGGTGACTTTCTTATATGTGAATAGGGCATTAAGTTTTCCTTAAGTTTCCTTTGCAGGTTTGTGAGAAGCGTTTGAGGAGGTGACTCAGCTGTGAATCCAGCAAGCAGAACCCATAAGCAGAGTCAGACTGACCCACCAGGAGTCAAAACATCATCTCATCCACATCATCTCATCCACATCATCTCCTCACCATCTCATCGCCTAATGCCAGAGGACAATAGCTGATGTCTGCAGGCCCCAGGGCTGCCTCCCCCAGCCCCTTCCCCTTCATAGTCCCGTCCCCTGCACCTGCTGGGAGGCTGGATTCGAATGCTTGTCAGCACCTTGCCCTCTTGATTGGCTCAGTAAACGCCTATATGATTCAACCCTGCCTTCGTTATTAGACGCAGCGACAGGCAGCCCAAGCCTCCCGAGTTTCCCGGAAACAACACCCCACCTGCCAGGCCCTTCAAAGCAGCCCCAAGGCCCCTGCAACTGCTGAAGCTCCCGCCAGGCGCTCTTCTCATCTACACCCCGACTCTGCCCCCGCCTCTCCCCCAATGACATCACACCCTGGGTAGGCCCAGCACCGGGCAGACTCACAGCTAAGCTGGGCTTCTGTGTCACGCTGCCTCGCTCCCTCTACTGACCTTACACTCAGCTAGCTCAGTGGTTGAGCGTCGACCTATGAACCAGGAGGTCACAGTTCAATTCCCAGTAAGGGCACATGCCCGGGTTATGGGTTTGATCCCCAGTGTGGGGCGTGCAGGAGGCATTCGGTCAATGATTCTCTCTCATTTGCTCTCTCTCTCCCTCTCTCTTCCTCTCTCAAATCAATAAAAACACAGTTTTAAAAAGTACTTTAAACTCAGCTGGTCGGACACAAGTTCAGGCTCTCCCACTGCTCCCCATCTGGTCTCTGTCCAGTGTCCCCACCCCATGAGCGGCACGAGCGAGCTGAGTCTTAGGCACCTCCCTCAGGCCCCAGGGACTCTGGCCCTTCTTCTTCCCAGACATTCCCCCAAACCCCCCCGCTGCCTCCTCTCCGTCCCCACGGCCCGAGCTGGGTGACCTCCGGCCAGGGCCCCGCCTCTGTCCCCTGCGCTGCCTGGGACTCTCCAAGTCAATGTCTCAGAACCCCAATCTGCTGTCACCTGCACCCCTCACAGCCATTTACGTCTTAAAATAAAGACATACCTACTGTGTGCGCCTTTACCTCCACCAACAACCACCCCTTTGGTGAGCATTGGGCCCGTCCATCCACCAGCTGGACCGTGAGCCCTGGTGCCTGCTGGCCAGGGAGTCCCAGGACACGGCTCAGACCGCACACAAGCCCTGGCCGGTGGCTCAGCTGCTTGGAGCATCGTCCGTGCACCAAAAAGGTGGCAGGTTCGATTCCCAATCGGGGCACGTACCTGGGTCGCAGGTTCAATCCCTGGTTGGGGTGTGCACAGGAGGCAACCAATCGATGTTTCTCTCTCACATCAATGCTTCTCTCTCTCTCTCTCTCTCTCTCTCTCTCTCTCTCTCATTAATAAAAACATATCTTCGACCCTGACTGAACAACCACCCCTTTGGTGAGCATTGGGCCCGTCCATCCACCAGCTGGACCGTGAGCCCTGGTGCCTGCTGGCCAGGGAGTCCCAGGACACGGCTCAGACCGCACACAAGCCCTGGCCGGTGGCTCAGCTGCTTGGAGCATCGTCCGTGCACCAAAAAGGTGGCAGGTTCGATTCCCAATCGGGGCACGTACCTGGGTCGCAGGTTCAATCCCTGGTTGGGGTGTGCACAGGAGGCAACCAATCGATGTTTCTCTCTCACATCAATGCTTCTCTCTCTCTCTCTCTCTCTCTCTCTCTAATAAAAACATATCTTCGGACCCTGACTGGTCGCTCAGTGGTTAGAGCATCAGCCCATGGACCAAAGGGTTGTGGGTTTGATTCCCAGTCAAGGGCACGTACCTTGGTTGCAAACTCAATCCCTGGCCCTGGTCAGGTCATGTGCGGGAGGCAACCAGTCAATGTGTGTCTCTCGCATACATATTTCTCTTTCTCCTCCCACCTCCCTTCCTTCCACTCTCTCTAAAAAAAAAATTAAAATCAATGGAAAAAATATCTTCAAGTGAGGATTAAAACTACCCCCAGGGGCTCACAAACCCCCAGCAGACATCTCTCGGAACGAATAAAGCAAACTCTGGAGCCACACGCCTCCTGGAAGGTCAGCGAGAAACCGGGTGGTGATAACACTGTTATTCTCCCAAACACCCAGGTAACCGGGTTACCAGCGTGTCTGGAACAGAGCCCGGAGTTTTTCCAGGATCTGTGCATCCAAACACGCCCGGGAGGCTGGCAGCCACGGCAGCCTTGTGCCTGGCAGGCTCACGTGTGCCTGTTGGCACGACCTCCATGGACTCATCAGCGAGCGCGGGTGTTGGGAGCTACGTGCCCGGGGCCACGGGGACACACAGAGGGGAGAAGTGTCCTCCGGACTCGCAGGCTCATCAGACCATTAAAGGCGCAGAGGGTCTCAGCCGAGAGGAAGCCCACGGAGCCTGCGGGAGGAGGAGGCCTGGGACGAGCCCTGCGGAGTCGGAGAGGCCGCGCCACTCCTCCACCTGGACGACGTCGGGTGTGAAGTGCCCCCTGTGCGCATCGTGTGTGCGGAACCTGAGACCGGCCCACGGGACCGCGCCCTGCTCTTCCCCACGCCCGAGTGGTGACCGTGATGCGCCGGCCTGGTGCGCGGTTCAGCCCGTGCCTTCGCTTAGTGCCTCGCCATCGCCAAGCTCAGCAAACGCCGTTGGTATCAAATGTGCCGGACGGCTTTGCCCTTGGGTGCTATTTACAGTTCCTGTTGACAGATGCGGCCCTGAATTAGCGGGCAGTTTATCTCCACGATGTCCTTAAGCACTCGCCACGCCGGGAGGCACTGAGGTCCGCGGGCCTGAGCTCCGGTCAGGGGCATGGGCGCCGGGCCTGCCTCTCGTCTGTTAATCTGGGCGGAAGCTGCGTGACCAGGGCCCTGGCCCTGGCCTCCCGGCTGTAAAGTGAGGCTGGATTAGAGGATCCTCGCTTAAGCCCCGCTACGCCGCGATTTCCCTCCCGGGTGGCCGTGCCCGGGGAGGGCATGAACGCAGGTCAGTCTGCTGGCTGGGAACAGGCCCGGACGCGGATCAGGGCACGGGCCGCCGTGCGGACAGGACTCCATTCCCAAGTGCTTAAGGGCTTAGGGTCCCGGAGGCCATGAGCTGAGCTGACAAGAACAGTTACTGGTGCTCTAGCCCGTCTGGCTCAGTGGGTAGAGCTTCAGCCCTCGGACAGAAGGGTCACAGGTTCGATTCTGGTCAAGGGCACGTACCTCGGTGCCCGGCCCTGGTCGGGCGCGTGCAGGAGGCAACCCGTCGACGTGTCTCTCTCACAAGGACGTTTCTCTCTGCCTTTCCCTCTCTGTTCCACTCGCCCTCAGAACCAATGGGAAATGTCCTGGGGGAGGATCATCAACAACAACAACAAACCCTCCGGCCTGCCCCGCCCCTGGGGGGCCTTCACCCCGCGGGATTCCGCCTCATCAGGCCCTGCCATCTGCAAAGTAGCGTCACTGAAGTGCACAGACCCTCTCCGTCCCCTCAGATGACAGCGCACCTCGCGGTGTTAGCAGGGCCACCGAGGCCGGCACAGGTACGGAGACCACGTGGACACCTAGGCCAGCTGGGAGACTGGAGGTGGGACTCTGGACCACAGGCTTCAGAAAGCCGGTTCCCAAAGGGAGCATCCAGCTTATGACCACCAGATGGCGCCCTGGCCCGCCGGCCCATCTGCCTCCCGCGGGGGGAGATCTGTGGGCGGCTGCAAGAAAGGCAAACGCGTTTTATGGGAGAGGAAACACTTAATGACTGTGCTACCAATGATCGTCTCCATTTTGGAAGAAAGGTTATACGAATCCGAACTTGGCGCTAGCTCGTGACAGTAAGAGTAGTTTTGTCTCCCGTCTGGCTCAGTGGGTAGAGCTTCAGCCCTCGGACGGAAGGGTCACAGGTTTGATTCTGGTCAAGGGCATGTTCCTCGGTGCCTGGCCCTGGTTGGGGTGCGTGCAGGAGGCAACCCGTCGACGTGTCTCTTCTCACACGGACGTTTCTCTCTGCCTTTCCCTCTCTGTTCCACTCGCCCTCAGAACCAATGGGAAATGTCCTGGGGGAGGATCATCAACAACAACAACAAACCCTCCGCCTTGCCCCGCCCCTGGGGGGCCTTCACCCCGCGGGATTCCGCCTCATCAGGCCCTGCCATCTGCAAAGTAGCGTCACTGAAGTGCACAGACCCTCTCCGTCCCCTCGGACGACAGCGCACCTCGCCGTGTTAGCAGGGCCACCGAGGCCGGCACAGGTACGGAGACCACGTGGATGCCTAGGCCAGCTGGGAGACTGGAGGTGGGACTCTGGACCACAGGCTTCAGAAAGCCCGTTCCCAGAGGGAGCATCCAGCTTATGCCCACCAGATGGCGCCCTGGCCCGCCGGCCCATCTGCCTCCCGCGGGGGGAGATCTGTGGGCGGCTGCAAGAAAGGCAAATGCGTTTTATTGGGGAGAGGAAACACTTAATGACTGCGCTACCGATAACCGTCTCCATTTTGGAAAAAGCTTATATGAATCCGAACTTGGCTCTAGCTCAGTGATGGCGAACCTTTTGAGCTCGGCATGTCAGCATTTTGAAAAACCCTAACTTAACTCTGGTGCCGTGTCCTGGCCCGCCGGCCCATCTGCCTCCCGCGGGGGGAGATCTGTGGGCGGCTGCAAGAAAGGCAAACGCGTTTTATGGGAGAGGAAACACTTAATGACTGTGCTACCAATGATCGTCTCCATTTTGGAAGAAAGGTTATACGAATCCGAACTTGGCGCTAGCTCGTGACAGTAAGAGTAGTTTTGTCTCCCACAGGCATCGTCTGAAAAACTCCAAGGTGAGTGATGGCAGCTTAGTTATTGGCAACAACTCTTACATCAGAAGTAGATGCAGAGACAAAGAAGCATCGAACAGACCGTCAAACCTCAGAGGGAAGGCAGGAGAGGATGGGTGAGGGGGTAAGAGATCAACAAAGAGCTTGTATGCATATTAGCATAACCAGTGGACACAGGCCATAGGGGGTCGGGGGCGGGCTGGGAGAGGACAGTGGGGGACAAGGGGGACACAGGCAATACTTCCAATAATAAAATACTTTTAAGTACAAATTAGCAGGCACAGAATAGTCCTGGGATGTCAAGTACAGCACAGGAAACATTCAATATATTATGCTAACGAGGCCTGGTGTTAGATGGTATGAGGCTTAGGGGGTGATCCCTTTGTAAGTTATATAAACCTCCAATCACTGGGTTGTGCACCTGAAATTTTACTGTACCTCAACTTGAATTGAAAACATTTTTAAATATTATTTTTTTTAATGTTCAAAACTCAGGTGTGTGTGCGTGTGTGCGTGTATGTGTGCACGCATATGCATGTGTGTATGTGTGCACGCATATGCATGTGTGTGTGTGTGCGTGTGTGCGTGTATGTGTGCACGCATATGCATGTGTGTATGTGTGCACGCATATGCATGTGTGTGGGGGGGTGTGTGTGCACACACTGTGGGGTTAACTGTATGTGTCACCTGGCTGGGCACGGTGCCAGCTGTCTGGTCAAACAGCAGCGAGGGTTTCCGTGAAGGTGTGGATGGGGAGTGTCTGCGTCCATCCTTCAGGGCCAGGCGCCTCCGCTTGGAAGTTACTCAACCCCAGACTCTGGGTTGTGCACCTGAAACTACACTGAACCTCAACTCGAATTGAAAATTTTTTAAAATATTATTATTTTAAATGTTCAAAAATCAGGTGTGTGTGTGCTTGTGTGTGTGTGCATGCATATGCATGTGTGTGTGCGTGTGGGCGTGTGTGCACACACTGTGGGGTTACCTCGGCAGCAGAGGGCGCCCGAGGCTTCCAGCTCCCTCCTGGACCCCGGCCAGCGCCCAGGAACCCCAGGACACTCAGACCCGCCAGGCCAGCCGTGTGTGTGCATGCATATGCATGTGTGTGTGCGTGTGGGCGTGTGTGCACACACTGTGGGGTTACCTGTATGTGTCACCTGGCTGGGCACGGTGCCAGCTGTCTGGTCAAACAGCAGCGAGGGTTTCCGGAAGGTGTGGATGGGGAGTGACTGCGTCCATCCTTCAGGGCCAAGCGCCTCCGCTTGGAAGTTACTCAACCCCAGACCTTCCTTCGGGAACACAGTGAGCAGGGAGGGGCCTTCCAACTGCTCCGGATGGTGAGGAAGTGGCAAGCGCGC